GGGAGTATTACCAACATGGGCAGAGAGGGCAGGTGCACATGTACGTTGGCTTCGTTGTTTTAAGGGTGAGATTGGAGGCCAAAATGTGTGTGAAAGGTACCTTGTTGCCAGTCTAGATCACAGAAGCACAAAATGTTAAGTCTTAAATCTAGAAGGGATCTTAGTGATCCAATTTCATTTTACTGATGTGGAAACTGACGTCCAGAGGCAAGTGACTTGCTCAGAGCCATGGAGGTGGCCTGTGACAAAGCCAAGCCGGGCTGCAGGTTCTCAGCTCCTACATGCAGCGCTCTAGACTTGGTTCGTGCGCAGGCCCAGAGTGTATTTAAGGCAGTTCAGTGGAAAGCCTCGTAGAAAGTGATGGATGCACTCTACCTCCCACTCCCATTTCTCTCTTATATAAACCCAGACTCTCGCCCTGGCCAGTTTAGCTAAGTGGTTAGAGCATCGGCCTGCGGTCCAGAGAGACCCGGGTTCGGTTCCCGCTAAGGGCACGTACCTCGGTTGCAGTTTGTCCCCGGCCCTGGTCGGTTGTGCGGGTGGCAGCCACTCGATGTGTCCCTTTCACGTTGATGTTTCTCTCTCTCTCTCTCTTCCTCTCTCCCTCCCGCTCTATCTGAACAAAAAAAAAAAGGAAAAATGTCCTCGGATGAGGATAAAAAAAACAAAAAAAACACACCCAGACTCTCAAATATTAGTTTTGGGCTCTGATGGGCCATATGCATAGTTACCTATGAAATATAGCTTATATAATATTTGGCTATGCAGCATAGAACCCATTCCTATTTTATTATGAAAATAAAAATCCTGGTTGTCATTAAAATATGACATGTGTGTAATATAAAATAAGAAATTATATGCACAGACTTGGAAAGCAAAGACATCTCTTGGCTTTCTTTATAGATCCCTTTTGTTGTTGTTGTTAATCCTCACCTGAGGACATTTTTTCCATTGAATTTTTTTAGAGAGAGTGAAAGGGATGAGGGGAGGGAAAGAGAGAGAGAAACATCAATGTAAGAGAGACACATTGATTGTTTGCCTCCTGCATGAGCCCTGACTGGGGATCAAACCTGCAACCCAAGTATGTGCAACCCAGGTATGTGCCCTTGACCAGGACTCAAACCTGTGACCCTCTGGTGTGTGGGCTAATGCTCTAACCACTGAGCTGTGCTGGCCAGGACTATGGATCCTTTTTAAGAACTTTTGGTGAGAGAGAGAGAAAGAGAAAGAGAAAGAGAAAGAGAAAGAGAAAGGGAGGGAGGGAAGGAAGGAAGGAAGGAAGGAAGGAAGGAAGGAAGGAAGGAAGGAAGGAAGGAAGGAAGGAAGGAAGGAGAAAGAGAGAGAGAGAGAAAGAAAGAAAGAAAGAAAGAAAGAAAGAAAGAAAGAAAGAAAGAAAGAAAGAAAGGAAAAAAGGAACACCTAAATGTGTATCAATGGCAGACTAGGAATGTGCTATATCCATCCCATACAATGGAATATTATATAGCAACAAAGATGAAATGAACTGGAGCTACATATGTCTGCATAGATAAAGCTCAAAATTTTCATGTGGAGCAAAAATAGTGCAAAAAATTTAAATGAAGTTTTAAAATGCACAAAAATACTCTATGGTGCCCAGGGTTTACATGTACATGCAGTAAAGGGATGAAGAAATGCTTGGGATGAGAAATCTCAAATTCAGGATGATGGTCTCCTCAGTAAAGAACTGAGGGAACGTCAACTCTAATTGTCAAGATTTACAAGGCTTGACATGGTTCCTGAGTGTTTATCAAATTATTATCTCTGCAGTTTGTGTGTCTAAAGTGTTCAGTGAAAAGAAGACAAGACCAGGCAGCTAACGCAGTTGGAAATTATTTATTTACCACTGAAAGGTTTTTTTTTGCTCCAAAGTGTGACACCAGACATATGACTACAATGTCTCATGCGTCTTTTTGTGCTTCGATTCATAATTGCAAACAAACACACACTTAGCATTGACAACAGGAAACACGGGCAGCAGAAACAAATCACAAGAGCTAGATCTCGCTTTTCGTGGTCCTCACCTCAATTTGGCTAAGGCAATAGCCACCTACCACCCCGGACTCCTTACACCCCAAAGGAAATGCCTTTGAAGAACTGTTCTCCCCTCCTGCTCTCTACATGGCATCATTTGGGGTGATTTGTCACTCAACCCACACACAGCAAGAGTCACGTCAAATTGAAATGGACAGATGCGTGCAAGGTTTTGATCAATAGGCGCTCAACAAATAGACACTGATTTGATGTAAGAAGTGGAGTCATAGATTAATGAGGGTGGACTCCCAATTCTTTATCCCCATCAGCGTATCTATGAAAGGGGCCAGATCACCTTGTGGGCAACAGCCCAGTCTGAGATGGTTTCTGACTTTATTTTCACCTCTGCTTCCTGCCCGTCTTAGAAAACTCTCCCTGGCAAAGTTCAAGGTGTTCCTCTCAAAAAGATCAGATGCGCTCACACAGACCCAATTACTCTAATTTGGTAGTAAATTGCAAATATATCTGGTGCCAGGTAAGCTGATGCAAGGAGAACTGAAGTTCTTTGATTTGGCAGTCTGATACCTCTGAATAATAAAACATTCACCAAGATGAAGTTTGGGTAGAAAACCACAGTGATTCTATTCTATCATCAATGACAGTACCCAGAGAGCTATGAATTGCCATTAGGTGAATAGTAATTAAGTCGATGTCATGGATTTCTAGGCCAACTGAGATTTCCGATGCCTTTACCATTGAGGATTCTGCTAGGATCCTGGTTTTTATGCCATTTGCAGTGTACTTTTCTGTCTACTCCCCTATCCACCCCTTACTCATCGATTCATTCAACAAATACTTGATTGAGGACGCACGAGCCAGCTTTATTCTAGGTTATGGAACATACCAGGGGACACAATAGACGAACCCCCGTAACACCTATTTCCTTTCTGTACAGGCCTGGCGAGAGAGATGGTAGCTGACGCCTAACACGCTTCGTGGTGCCGTTGGACTCTTCTCGGGGGCAACCTTCATGTTATAGATTCTGGAAAACTAAACCTCTGAGACCCAAAGAAATCAATGCCTCAGGGTGGAATGACCATGGGTGGAGTTGATATTTCTGAGAGCAGAGACCCTACCCAACTCACCTCAAACATCTTTGGTGTGACTGTAAGGCAGGTACATAGATTTATAAGGAAGTAGAACCATGTTTCTGGATTTTAAGCCTGGAATCCAGACTTTCCAAGATGGGAGTAGCAGATGTTACCAAGGAGCGAGTACTAGTCAGTTTACACAGGGAATGTTTGGAGCTCTTTTAGCCATGCCAACTAAAAAAAGGAGACCAGAGTGATGGTTGGTGGGGCCGGGGAGGGGTGTCTCAAAACATGATATAGGAAATGACTAACAAATGCTTTGCCTAAGACAAATCTTGGCAGGAGGTGATCAACCTCAGCGATCAAGATATCCAATTATCTGAGAGATTTTCCCATTAAAGAAGGATTAGATATTTTTTCTGTTTCTTCAAAGGGTGGGCAGAATTTGTTTCTAATGCTTTCTACTTCTGTACAGAAAGGAAAAATGATAACTAAGTGTGGTAAGGTCCCTGCTCAGATTCTCAGGGGGTTGGCCAAGAATGACTTGACTTGCTGAAGGTTGAAGGATAGCCCTTACCCATCTTGCCTAGGAATTCTCTTTTTGATCAGGACTGGGGTGACATCGGAAGGCCCAGAGCTTGGACGTGGGTATCAAGGAGTCCGAATGCAGAATTCATGGTTCTGGAAATGCCCGGGGTGGTTCTGGCACGCTCCAGGCATTTTCAGCTGCCAACTTAAAGCTTAAAGATGATCCGCTGGTGGCCTCAGTTAGTTCTCAGCCAGGCAGAGCCTGCAGCCTTAGCGCATGCGCTCACCTCTCGAGTGCATCATTCGCACAGAGCGCTCCAGGTGGCCGGCAACAGAACCCGGGAGAACCCGGGAGTCCCCGCTTGTGGGCAAAGATGATATCCGCTCGGCAGGCTCATTATTTAACGATGTGGACAGCGATTTGGAATAATAAGGTAGGAATTTGAAAACTGGCTTCTGGTTATTTACTGATTTTAATGTGATAGGCCCTGAAGGCTGGGAGGCACATTTGCAAAAGTCTTTGTTTCCTTTTTAAAATGGTCCTCCGTCTCCACCTCCACAGCCAGATGTAATAGCCGAAATCACAATGTGCCTCAAACCGAATGCTTCCTGAAGCGGCTGGGTCTGTCTCAGAGGGTCACTTTGGTGATGCTGGTGGATGTGACGAGCGCCCAATGACTAACAAGGGGTGTGCCACCTGGACTCTGTCAAGGAAAGGTCCCCAAATATAATATAAACTGATTCTGAAACAAAACAATAAAGTTCTTCAGTAAAAAGTACAAACTCAATCCAAGAGCCAGATCTGAAAAGCACAAATGAAAATATTAAGAATTGAAACAATCAAATAAAAAACACAGGAAGCTTCCAGATTTCACACTGATGGCTGAGATGGTCCGGCGTCAGAACTGGCTGCCCCGGGGTGTTAAGGACTGCGAAACCCTGTCTGGAATGTTGTAGAAGGGATTTCTCCAAGGGCAGAGCCCCAACCTCAGCATCCAAACACTGAGTGCGTGTTTAAAAGGCAGGCTCCTGGGATCCGGCCAGGAGCTACAATTCGGAATGTCTCCAGGGGCGCCCGGGAATCTGCTGGTGACTTCACACACTAAGGTTTGAGAACCGCTGGGTTATGACTGCCTTGGGTCGGGAGCATGACTTCATGCTGCCTCAATTTCATTCCATCCTGACAACCTCTAATTCTGTGAGTTGATCCAGGATCCTTTTATTTTCTTTATCATTTTTGAAATGCTCATTTTAAAGAAACGACATTCTTTGTGTTCATTGTTCCCCCAATTATCTGCATCTGGACTGACACCCCCCACCCCGCAAAATCTGCACATGGGCTGTATTTGACAAGTGTCTCTTCAATGACACTCTTCAATGACAGATGGACAAAATGCATTCCTCAGTGTGACCCAGATGTCCACACACGGCCCAGTCCTGCCCTGCTCGTTGTTTAGAAACGGGAGTGTGATGAGAAAGGACAGGGTCCAGTCCTGGTCTCTGCAAACACGTCTGTCCTCTGGGTGTCAGAATGAGGATGTGGCACAAAGAGGTCGCAGAGGACAGCTGGGATGGAAGGGGCGGGGCTGTGCCCCAGAAGGGCGGTGGCCCGGGACGCTGGCTACAGGTGCAGCTGGTGCCACATGGCGATCTGCCGGCGTGGGTTTTTGAGCATCTCCTCCCAGTGGCTGCGCTCCGAGCCCGCGGCGTGCAAGCCCAGGCTGCAGTGGCCCAGCGTGCAGCTCTGCCCCTCCTCCTCCTGGCCCAGCACCTCCAGCTCCACGCTGGAGGCCTGCAGCAGGTCATCGGGCAGCTCGAACATGATCATCTCATTCCACACGGGGTTGATCTTGTGCTTGGCTCGTTTCGTCTGCTTCTTCTTCAGCTTGCGAGCCTGGTGCTTTAAGGTCACCTTGACAGAGACATCTGGGGAGGGACAGAGGGGAAAAAGAGTCTGAGAGAAGGGTCAAGAGTGAGCTTTGGGGATGTGGCGAGGTCCCGATAATGCTCTCTCTTAGGGATGGAAAGAAAGGGTCTCTGGCTTAAGACCTGCACTGAGACTCCCTCTGTGCGCGCCCCCACCCCGCATTGGTCAGGTATTACTTCGACAATTATTAAATGCCCACCATATGGCGGACACTGGCCTAGACATGGGGATACAGCAAAAGTTCCTGCCTCAGGGAATGTATAGTCAAGTATGGAAAACAGACAGTGGCATAATATATGAGGCCGGTCATTGGGTGACCCCTGATTGTGTCATGCTGGAGGACAGCCAGGGAAATGCCCTTTGCCATAAGCCTTTCTGGTACCTTTATGTCCCACGTCAAGCTAAGCCCAGGACAATGGCTCAGACATCCTGCAGCTTGATTTTAAATTCAGTCCAGAAAAAGCAAGCTACCCCACGTCTTCATGCCCTGGGTTCTCTGTCCAGGCATTTTTGTCTGTTAGAAGATAGCAGGTCACCTGCTGGTTGAATGAGTTCTTCTCCTCCGTTCTTTCATAAGTTTTACCTGAGGACCCCCACTGCATGTGGAGGGTGAGGGCAGGCTGCCTTGGCCCCGTGGGCACTATGCCAATGGAGCCGCCCCGCTAGGAAATCCGCCCCAACCCCCACCGCCAGGGAAACAGGCCACCAGACAGCTTCCAGGTACATCACAGGGCTCGGGACGCAGGTTACGTTTTCATTAGTCAGGGTTCCCCAAGCTAATGAGAGAACCATTGTTCCTCTGCGTTTCTTACTGTAATCATCACCCCGGGTACTGAGTTTGTTTCAGCAGATATCTGAGAGACAAAGTGTTGAGCTGTGATGTCCTGACAAGAGTTATACAAAAAGAGCAGGAGGCAAAGAACTGTCTGGAGGGGATGAGGAAGAGGCACTAATGTTGACCTTGGCTCAGGAACCTGTCAGCAAGGACAACTCTTCCGACTTCTTCCACCCAAGAGCTTTTGCTCAGAGTCTGAAGGCAGCGGCAAGTCTTTGTGTCCTGTTATAATTTCTAGGTATTGCCTGGGCCAGTTTGGCTCAGAGGTTAGAGCATCAGCCCGTGGACCAAAGAGTCACGGGTTCGATTCCCAGTCAAGGGCAAGTACCTCGTTTGCAGGTTTGATCCTTGGCCCCCGTCAGGGCGTGTGCAGGAGGCAACCAATTGATGTGCCTCTCTCACATCAATATATTTTTTTCTCTCTCTCCCTCCCTGCTTTCCACTCTATCTAAAAATCAATGGAAAAATATCCTCAGGTGAGGATTAAAAAAATCTGTTTACTTATATGCTGCCATGAGCACTTGGCCCTGGGTCCAGGTGCCATATGGCAACCTGCGAAACTTCCCTGCTCTGACGGAGAACCTGTTTGGTCCCCTGATTTGGGGCCTGGGCTAGGCATCCAGAAGGAGAAACCGAGGCTTCTAGAAGAGATGTTTATTTGGGATATGTGGCATAGACACCCTAAGCTTCAGGCTGCCTCAGCCCAGGAACCCACACACCTTCTGCCATCACCCCCACTCAGCTGGTGTGGGGGTGGCAGGTTGGCAAAGGCTGAGAAAACAGAAGAGACTGGGGTGGGTGTGGGGTGGGGATGGCTAGCTGAGACAGGATTAGGGGAACCTGGGCTCCTCGACACCTGCCCATGAGGTGGGCCCAGCCAGGTCTGGGTGACAAAGTCTGGCCAAGTTCCCTCTGTAACCCACTCCACTCTACTCCGCGGCTACGACCTGCCCCTTGGCTTCCTGTGACCCAGGGCTCAGACTGGTTCTTCTCACAGAGGATCTCCAAGGTCGGGAGCCCCTGGGAGGAATGAGCTCATACTCGAGCCTTGATGGATGGGACTGGCCAAGGAGTAAATGGATATGAACATAACGAAGTGAGTGCGTCCTTTAAAAATTCATTTGTGAGCTTGGGATGGAGGCTGACTCCACAGTGTACTCATGTCCCACCTCCCTGCTCCCTGCCCCCATTGCTCCACCCTCCACACACATTCCCAGAGGCCAGAGGGGCCCTGGCTCTCTCCCCTCACAACCCACTCACCCTTCCCCAGGAGCTCCTTGGACGGGTTCGAGTGGAGGTTCTTGGCCTTAATCAGCACCACCAGGAGGCGGCTAGCAGCTGGGAGGTAGCTGATGGAGAGCAGGACCTCTCCCGTTCCGGCAGAAGGTTCCTGAGACGGGAGGAGGAGGGTCAGAGATGGCCTCAGTTAGGGGTGGCCTCTGCCCACCAACTAATGCTAAGGCGAGGGCCACATGACCTGTATCCCAGGCATCCCGGGAACCATTTAGCCATGAATGCTGCCTTCTCTGCCCTTGCTGAAGGGAGAGGGCACAGAAGAGTTACGTGCGGCTTCTGTTTCAACACGAGTTTGTTTCATTTGCCCCCAAATGTGATTTTCCAAATACTTTATATTCAAACCCAGCCTATAAAACAGACCAAAGAGATGCCCCTCAGGATGGGACAGGGGCAGAGGGCCAGGACTCCCTCTCACCCTTCACATGCCCCCGCCCAGCCTCCGAGGGTGTCTTTACAGAATGCTAGGGTTCTAGGGAACACAGCTGGAGAAGCACCACCTGACCCACCAGGTTCCTGGGACAGTGGGGAGTTGTGTTCATTACTCTGTTTGAAAAGATAATTCCTTCCAGCCCTTCCAGAGCTGAGAGAGTCCACAATGTCATGTGCTAATGCTGAGCAGGACCCTGCTTAGTCAACAGAATGGCCAACCATGTCAACAAAAGGCCAGGCGTAAGGTGTTAGCTGGTGCACTAGACTGTGGCCATAACTTTGCAGGAGGTGTGGAGGCCTCCGAGAAGCATCCAAAACGTCTATGCCCGTCTGCAGCTTTACAGAGTGTCTCCGTGAAATTCCTACAAGAATTTGTTGAAAATTTTAACAAATCCGTTGGAGGACAAAAATGACGAAAAGAGTCCCCACAGGAGGGAGATGTCTGTCATAGTCCAAAGGAAATGCTAAGAGTAGCAACTCAGGGTCTGGGTTCCAATCCTACCACTTGCTAGCTCTGACCTCAGGCAAGTTACTTAACTTTCCCAAGCCTCCCTTTCCTCATCTGTAAAATGGGAATAATAACATCAACCAATGGGGTTGTAGAAGTTAAATGAGTTCATACTTAATGGCTGCAACAGTGCCTGACACTAACGCTGGGGAACTTGTTGGCTTTATCACCATTAGTTATGAAGGAAGTCCAATCACTGCTTCTTGAGGTTAAGTGGAAACAATGTTTCTGGCTGAATGGGGCCAGTCTGGCTTTGGGAATGAGGCTGGATGGAGGAGCTGGCCAGTCCTCCACCTGAGTCACACCTTTCACCCAGGAAAAATGTCTGCAACATCACCCCAGTGATCCAACTAGCCATAAGCGACCAGTCATAGGATAAAATGATTTGGGAGCTGCCAGGAACTTTGGCAATAGCAGCTAACGTTAAACACTCACCATGTGCCAGGTGTAATTACATTATTGATCACACTAGGCTGTAAGCTTCACAAAGCATCCCCAGCACCCAGCATCCAGCACCCAGTTGACACACAGTAAATATTTGTGAGAAAGAAGGGTGAGACATCCCATTTAATCTTGGCAACAATCTTAAGAGCAATACTAATTTTATTTCCGTTTTAAGTATAAGACCCTGATGCTCAGAAAAAGCACGTTCCTGCTTGGGGTCATGTAGCCAGCAAGCAGCAAAGCTGAACCTTGAACAGAGGTCTGGTCTGACAGCAGAGCCCAAGTCCTAACCCCATTGCTCTCCAGCATCCTTGGAGTCTGCTCCACACTCAGATTTCACAGCGACGGGACTAAGGCCCAGGGACGTGGCCAGGCACGCAGAGGGGCGGCAGAGCTGATGGGCACCTGCCTCCTGATTCATGGGCACTCATGGAAAGTCCAAGGTTAGTCTTGGCTGTAGCCACAGGGTGACCAGGCTTGAGCGCTCCACTCGCTCCAGACAGGTTAAAGGAGCCTGGGGCGGTCAGCCGTGAAGGGCTTGTCACCTTGGCGTAGGGTGGGTGCCAAGAGTCCCAGACAAGCCCGGCCGGCTGCACCACAGCCAGAGGGTTTCACCACATCTGCCCGTCGGCTCTGCTGCGTTAAGTGCCTGCCGACAGAAATACAGGCATATACCACCGCAATGAGAGTATTGCAATAAAGCAAGTTGTAATCTTTTTGCAGGTTGAGGGTCTTTCCTTCAACTCATAAAAAATGCAACATCCGTGGAGTATAATATAGCAAAGCTCAATAAAATGAGGTGTGCCTGTAACCCTCTTCCTTTCTGTCTTCTGGTTTGTCCTCCCCTCCTTCCCCCCAGCTTCCTCTTGAGCTCTCGATGAATCATTTAAGCTGCCTTAGGGTGGGTGCTGTATGGTCCCTGGTGACGCACATGCCACTTTTGGCTGAGTGTCTTCCGGTGAGAACTGGGGCACTGTGGGCACCTTTGTTAACCCATACTGGGCTGCAGCGACCGAAGGCTTCGCCTGCCTGTTCACTGCATCCTCCAGCTGAGACCAGGGGCTCTCTCCTGCCACACACACTGGGTGCCGCCTCCCACCCCTGACTCCAGGCTGCCCTCTGAGATTGCTCAGGTTTGTGGCCAACAGGCCAGTGGGCCAAGTGGATGCCAGAGCATATTGTACAACAGTGACAGCCACGTGTGTGATGATTATTAGAGTGCATGAGCCATAAAGGCAGGGCTTTGTCTTAGCTACTGCTGTGTCCCTAGCTCCTGGCATTGTGCCTGGCACATGGCAAGGTATCGGTGGAATGAAGGAGTAAGTTCTACTCTTCCAGGGAGAACGAGAGAAGCAGTTCTGGTGCCTGAGACTCCTGCCTATATAGGCTGGAGCTCAGCCCTGTTGGGGTGGCACCAAAGTCTCCAGGGCTCTGGGGGAGCCCCTCCTCCCTGGAGAAAGCTGGTTTACCAGATGAATAAACCAAAGTGTTGGTTCTTCTTCCCAGCACCCCCAGCTGTGACTCCACACAAATCCCATACCACAAGCTAATTAGGGAGTGTGCTTTGGAGCAGGCTGAGAGTGGCTGTCAATGTTGGTCAAGTTTCTGAGCCTTGGAAAAAGAGAAAAGAAAGGCAAGAAAGAGATGGAAGCAAAAAGGGGAGCAGGCAGGGGTGAAAGTGTACCCCCGCCTCTGCAGCGCCCATCAGGGAAGGCGCCTGCTGATGGTGCCTCGCACAGCCAGGCCTTGGCGTGGTGGCGAGTACAGCCAGACCAGCCTGGCCTACGGCAGAGCTAGCCGTGTCCCAGACGGCGACCCTGCACGGGTGACTGGACTACTCCAAGCCTCAGTCCCCTTGTCTGTAAATGGGGAGTCTCAGCACCACCTGCTGCTCATCTTCCCTGCAGTGCCTGGCACATAGCAGGTGCATAGGAACTAGAACTGAATTTACATGAGGATAATACTGCTGGCACCAGAGCCGATACACTCATAACATCCTGGCAGTGGAGGTCTTTGCATGGCAAGCTAGAAGCAAAACTAGACACCAGGAGTCCCAAATCACGGGCTCTGAATCTGCTCCAGCCCTCCACCCTGTTCAAGATTCCAGATTTCAGGCTTACACACACACACTCACACTCTCACACACACACACATGCGCACACACACTCACACACACACACACACACACACACACACACACACACACCCGAGCTGGGAAGTTCTCTAAAGCTTGTTCCATGAGCACTGGCCCAGTCCTGCCATCCCAGGCTCCACTAACAGGTTTTACCTGTCCTGGGAGAGGTAACCCTACCTTAATGGAAGTCTTCAGCTCCCCCCACTGGGCGGCCCCAAGAGGTACGGATACCCCATCCAGGCCTAGGCGGAGCTCCCCAGCCACACTGTGGCGGGAGAAGCGGTCGCAGGTCCTCAGGGTCAGCGTCAGAGTCGCTGTGGGGAGCTCCTCCGCCGCCAGGGGGAGCACCAGGCCTTCCTCCCAGGTGGTGTGCAGCTCCCGCTTCTTCAGGATCGTCTGGGCCTCCACCGAGCCTGTCCTGTTGGCCACGCTGCCTTGGACATAGCAGTCACAGCCTCCGTCGTGGTCACTGGTCACAGCTGCAGCCAAGGACATAGCAACACAGACATGGAACTTCCTGAGAACCCAGGACAAGCACGACCCTGCTTCGCGCTGCGGAATCTGGCTTAAAGGGCAGACCTGGGGTGTGCAGGAGAAGCTCAGGGCTGACCAGCTCGGCTTTCTAGAATCACCTGTCAGAAAGCCATGGAGAGGTGGCTCTCTTATCTGAGGGGTCAGCACACGCTGGTCTTCCTTGGGGAACAGGGACAAGACTTGGTGCTTCCCTGAGCCCCTCCCACCTAGTGACAGAGATTTCCCCAAGGTGCCCGAAGCCTGAAACTGCTGATGACTTTTATTAGTGTTGCTGTTGACACTGTCATTGGTTTGTTCTGTGCGTTAGATATTTACCACACAACCACTTGTGATGTGAGTCACCAACGTTGTTTTCTATTCTGAACCTTGGTGTTCTCAATGCTTCGCAGTGAGTGTATTTGCACCTGTGGTGCTTTTACGCCTGGTCCCTAAATGATGGCGTGAGATACGGTCGCTGATGTTCCCCAGGAAGAGCCGAACTGAGGCCACGTGTCCTGATAGGAAGAACTCTCCACAGAGCTTCGCGGACATCGGGTACAGTCCCGGCTTGGGCACCAATAGTTGGAGGGAACTTAGACAAGCCACCTGATGTTGTTAGACTTGTTTCCTAATCTGCAAAGTGGAACCCCTGTGAAGACCAAATGTACGAAAGTATATAAAATTGCTTAAAAATCTCTTAAAAATAAAAAGGAGAGACACTCCCTCAAAAAAAATTAAATGAAATACAAATGTCCAGTGTATCCTGCCCACAGCTTCCAGGAGCCATGCAGTAGCCCATTCTTAGCCCTGATTCCTTCACAGAGTCTTAGCTTCGTTTGCTGATGGTAGTGTGATCGTCAGGATAGAGACCAGGGGCAGCCAGATCTCCTGGGAAAGACTGCCTGGTTCTATGGGTGCTGAATCCCCTCTGTGTCCAGCACAAAGCCCTGTGTCAAGTGCATCTGTGCAAGAGACGCCTAACTGTTCACCAAAACCCCATTTCCTCTTTCTGCTGGGCACCTGCTGGGCCACATTTCCCAGCCCCCTTTGCAGTCAGTGGCCATGTGACTGAGTTTCAGCCAATGGGATGTGAGCAGGAGTGACGCACACCATGTGCAGGTAGTTTCTAAGGAACGATTGTGCCCTCTCCCTGTTCTTCCCCGCCTTCCCCTGCTGGATACAGATGACAAGGAGGCCCGAGAGGATTATGGAGCCACAGATGGAAGGAACCTGGTCCCTGAATCACCATTTGGAGGAAAGATACCGCCCACCAGGAATCTCCACTTTGGACTGTTATATGTCTGACCATCACACATTCCAGGGTCTATTCGCCACAGAGTGCCAATCTAGCACCAGCCCCCAGCTGTGGATGCTCCCGTCCCTCCTGCACAGCTCCTCCAGGGGAGACAGACTCATAGGAGTCCCTGAAGGTCAACTGAGAGCATACCTTCCAGGCGAGTCACAAACAGTTCCGCTTTCTGCTGGTCATACTGCAGGCAGTAGTGAAGTTTGGGGGCTTGGTTCCAGGAGGCAGCCTTCTCTGGGTTCCAGGTCTCCATGACACAGACATCCTCCACCACACCTGTTCAGAAGGGAAAGCGTTCCTGCCACCATGCTGGAGTCCTGTTTTCCAGATCACACCTTCCCCAGCTCTGCCACCAACCCCAACCCAAAGCTTCCAGGCAGGTGCCAAAGCATGGTGGCTGCACCTGTGCTCCTGGGCCTTGCATTTCCAGTGCTCAAGGCATGGGCTTTGGTGGCAGACAGAAGCTGTACATAATAATGTGACCTTGAACAAGATACTTGATTTCTCTGAACCTCAGTTTCCACATCTTTACAGTGAGAATGAGAACCGTTCCTTCCTCCTAGAGTTACTATGAGTATTAAATAAAATAAAGTGGGGGAAGTACTTAGCCCAAGGCCTGGCCCGTGGTGAGCTTTCAGTAAGAAAAACTGTCATAGCTGGTGTGGTTCTGGTCACCCTGTCTCGGGCAAACCATCCCCAAGCCATCTCCGGCTCCACCTCTCCCACAGAGTCTAGTCCCTGCTCCCAAGTAGTTAATGGCCAGAAATAAATGTCAAAGAATGAGTCAGGACGAGATGCTGGGGGCATGGACAGGGGTAATGGATTTTATTTTTGTGCATGTTCAATAAATACTTGCTGAATTAATGAATGAATGACCTTATTTTGAATTCGGAAGTTCCTAAAACCAGAACTAATTCTCACTCTGTCCCTCACTTGAACAGGCGTCAAACATCTGGAAGACTGTCATTATTCAAATGTAATACAAGAATCAAAGGATCGGCAGCTGCAGCAGACTCCACTTTAAGCAAACTGGAATTAAAATATTTATTTTCAAAACTAGAGGGCAGAAATATAAAAGAGTATTTAATGTCTAAAATGGTTCGTTATTGGGTTCCTACAAGTAGGGAAAGATGTCCCTGGAGCATCTAAACAAGACCAGATTGGCCAGGATATGAGCAATGTGCAAAGTGAGATACACATACGCACAGGACTCATGTGGCTCCCAAGGGCTCCCCGGGGACACATACAAGGTCAGGGTCAGAAGAGGCTTATTGGGCACTCAGAGCTCTCCACCCTCAGACCACCTTAGCCTTCAAAATCAAAACCAAACCAAAGCCAGCACCACTTGGAGAAGCAGGAATGGATTCAGCTTCAAGAATTGGAACTTTGAGCTATACACCTGAAACCAATACAAAAAATAACATAAAATAAAAATTGGAACTTTGAGCTCTACACGGCGCTGATGAGGATCGTCTCTTGTCAGAGTAGACCACGTCCAGCACACGATGGGCACAGTGTCTGAGGGCTCTGGCATCCTCCCCGGTGCTCCCTTACCTCTGGTCCATGCTTGCTGAACCAATCAACTCTCGATAGACTTCTGGGTAATCAGAACTTGTTGCCTTATGGGATGAGAAAGGAATGAGGAAACATGAAAAGGAGAAGATGAGCTAACGTGTTCTGAATTTTTCAAAGTTCCAGACTCTCCTGTTCTCCTTGGTGGAGAGTGTCCAATCCTTGCTTCCTCTGAGCTTTGAGAAACCTGGGGCTCCCAAGAAAAGAGAGCCCATCATGGTTGTGATTATAATCAGCGCCCCCAAGTGTCCTCAAGCAAATGGTTTCCCACCCAACCTCAAGCTCTCAAGTCTTCGGTGGGTGTTTTTTAAACCTATTTAAAATGTAGGCTGGCAAACCTGGAGGCTAAAAGCCAACCAGGATTCATTCATGCCCTAGGCACTGCGTGAATTTGTTCTTGAAGAAATGCCAGGCTAATCACTCTGGTTCAAAGTCAGGTTGGAGGGGCATTTGTTTACTGGCCAGTGTGAGGTAAAGCTGGACCCAGGCCAGGACATGTGTTAGGAGTGGGGTGAATGTCAAAGCTGGTTCTGCTACTTTTGCTTCTACTGTCTCTGTCTCCAACCACACAAAACAAAACCCCAAACCACACAATCCATTCTCCCAGCTGTAGTTTTCACCTTCTTATACAAGCCTGTGTGCTCCTCTGGGTGAAGGACTGCCTGTGCTTTGCATATCTGCCCCAGTGCCCAGCATAGCACTGTCCACCTGAAGGAGTTGCATTCTTGATATTGATGATGAGCAGAACAGAAACAATAATAACAATATATTATGATGACTTCCTAGTGCTGGGCCTTGAGTTAAGCACTTTATATGCATTATTTTATTTATCCTTTACAACAACTTTACTGAGTGGGTAATAGTATGAACCCACTTTACAGATGAGGAAACTGAGGCCCAAAGAATTTAGCAACATGACCGAGGCCACACAACAAGTATATAAAAGGGCAGAGAATTGAACCCATGACTCTGAACCCATGGTTTTAACCACAACTCTTTATCCGCTCTCAACAGTTGTACACATGATTTGAAGGGAGTCTCCATTTCCCAGTGAAAATCTAGGGGCCTTGGGAAGAAGCGATGAGGCAATGTGTCTGCAGGAATAAAGGACTATAACCCCGAGGCCCCGTGCCCACCTGATTGCCCAATATCAAACGTCACAGACACTGGGGCTGGCCATGCCCAGCATCCACATGGACACTGACAACCCCCTGAGTGTTGCTCATGGAGAGTGAGGTGCAGGAGACCCTACCATTCTGAGGAAGGATGAACAGCTCCTCTGTGACCTGTCTCTTGAGGCGACTGTCGTTCGGGGCCTGGGGGCTGGCAGGCGCAGCAGGCTCCTCTGTGGTCCTCAGCGTGTAGTCTGCATAGTTGATGACCTCCGGGGCCGTCACTGCCGGCCTGGGGCCATAAATGTCTGGGAACTTGAGGAGCGCTCGGGGCTGGACGGGCTCCGTGGATTTTTTAATGTTGAACTGCAAACAAATCACTCTGGTTAGTCTTCCAGGGGACCTCCTGCCTGTTTTCCGCCCGCAGAAGGGAGTAGCGATGAGCTGACCTTTCATGGGAGGCAGAGGGAGAGCTGGGCTTCCCTTCTGCTCTGAGGAGCGTGACCTGGGAAGGCAAACGTCGTTCCAAACCCACCTGAATCCACAACATCACGAGTCATGCTCGGGCCCACTGAGATGCTGCCCTGTTCGTCCATTTCTTCCTTCCTCCATCCATCCCTCCCTCCATCCACCCTACGGCTGAGTCCCCAGTTGTCCCCAGTTGATATTGATGTTGATGAGCAGAACAGAAACAATAATAACAATATATTATGATGACTTCCTAGTGCTGGGCCTTGAGTTAAGCACTTTATATGCATTATTTTATTTATCCTTTACAACAACTGGGCGGGTCTCAGGTGGTCCTCCCTCTGCCGCTGTCTGTGCCACTTGCTTCTTTGTTTTCTCTCTCCTGGGTCCTGTTCTCTCATTTCTTCTTCCCTCCCTTTCTCCACCTAATGGCTCAGAAATGCCAGTGGGCCCACCACATTCAGAACAAACTCCTTGCAGTGACCTCTAAGCACTAAGCAAATGCTCCCCAACCCCCTCCCTGCGCTCCCTCCAGCCACGGAGCTCCCTGCTGCTCAAGTGGGCTGAACTCTTTCTGGCTCTGGCTTCTGGCCCTCAACCCTTCCCCCAAACCACCCACCCTCATGCTGGAAGTTAAGTCCCTCCCCCAAGCTGACCTTCCTTTCACCACATCCTGCTCTTTGCTTTACCACACTGATCTCACGCTCTGCTCTCTCTGTCACAGGCCAGCCCGCTCGTGGACAGTCTCCCCCACGGGCGGACGAGCTCCACAAGCACAGGGTGAGGTCTTGTCTTGCTCCTGCTGGATCTCTGGGGCTCGGCACCATGTCTGCTTGCGGGGAACTTGCAGCACAGACGCTTGGCCAGGGCCGCCCTGCCCAGGTGTACGGTCTGTGCGCCGCACAAGGTGAAGGACAAGGGAGGGCTGAGATGCTGTCTGCGCACCACTGGTCCACGTGTCCATTTGGGCGTTCACATTTGGTTTCATCTCAGTTTCATCATCTTAGAAAAAGGCTACATTGATTAATTCCCAGTTTGATCAAATTTGGCTGATTTTGCGTTTTTTGGGGTTTTTTTTATCCTCACCCGAGGACATTTTTCCATTTTTTGATCAGATAGAGCAGGGGGATGAGAGAGGAAGAGAGGGAGAAACATCGATGTGAAGGGACACATCGAGTGGCTGCCACCCGCACGACCAACCAGGGCCGGGGACAAACCGCAACCGAGGTACATGCCCTTAGCGGGAACCGAACCCGGGTCTCTCTGTACCGCAGGCCGACGCTCCAACCACTAAGCCAAACCGGCCAGGGCTGATTTTGCGTTTTTAATGGGGAAATAATTACTGGACTCAGTTTGAGTGAGGTCCACCCTGTGTCACCTCAAGTCCGCAAAGCGTGGGTCCGCAGGCCTCCTTACTCAGCGAGTTTCCATCTGTGAGTCCCACGTGACCTCCAGAGCCAGGGCAGGCTGGGCTGTCCCCGGGTGTCGCCAATACCCATCCCCCCTCCCCTTCAATTTTTCTGAGTTCCACCCCAACCCCAGGTCCAGGGAAGGTGGGGGTTCTATTTGGTTTGATCCTATCAATTCTTGGCATCATTCTGGGAACTGCTTCTGGCCCAGGGGTTGGCACCCATCCTGGGAAGCCAGCCCAGACAGAACTGAAGGGCTTGCATTCCACGGCCGTAGAAGAGATTCTCTCCCCTACTGGAGAGGACACATGTGGCCCATCTTGGGACTGCAAAGTGAGCCAGTCTTAGGAGAAAGCTGAAGGTGCAGACAGCAGGATGGAGAGTCAGAAGAAGCCACGTCTCTGATGACAGTGTCATTAGCTATTGAATCAACCAGGCCTGAAATCTGTCCTGCCTCTGCTCTTCAAGTTACATGAGCAATATTATTCTTACTGTTTAAGCTGGTTCGAACTGGGGTTTCTGTGACTTGCAGCCAAGAGCACCCCAAACTGATGCACTGTTTTTAACAAGCATCACAGGAGATCATGACCCAGGTGTAGAGAAATTCTGCCTAGGGTTAGATACCAGCCCCCCAACCCCAAGCCTCTCTGCATCCAGCCAAAGGTACCCTCGACTGCTGTTCAGCCTTGCCCCGCCTTGGTCAGGTCCTGTGCAGCAATGACCGTCTTCAGTGGAGGGTGATTTCGAGCCCTTGACCAGGTGGGGAGTAGTCTGATGACAGCTACATGAGCCTCTTCACTAGTGACAGCAGCAGCTGATCACTGACCTTGTTCTCTCGTACAATTTTATTTATTGCACTTCAAAACCCTGGTTCTACCACATCGTTCAAATGCATCTATGTTTCCACTTAAATAGCATAAACTTCAGTGCCCAAGAAGCAGGAAGGTTTGGGAGGTGAGGCAAACCTTCATTTAATGAACACATAGCTCCTATGCTGAATGTTAGGAACACACAGGTGACCAGACAGACGCTGTCTTTCCCTAGGAGGCTCATGTTGGGCAAAGATAAATTAATTACGAAATTAATGACCTACAAACAAACACTTAACTTTACCAGAGATCTTAGGCGACCCCTTCCGTTATGACTAATGTTTTCACCTAAGGACCACTTATTGATTTGGGTTTTCACACTGAGTCTCCATCTAAAACATCACAGCACCCAGGTAGGGGAGGCAGACACGGCTCGAAAAAGGGACAGGTTGCTTTGCCCTTTATAGTTGAACTTTAAAAAAGGAGAGGGGACAGATGGACACAGAGTATTCGAATGATGCCCAACGTGGGCCAGTGCGGCTGGGGTCTGCAGCTACGCACGGGGAAGCCCTCAGCGGGGAGCCGGGCCAGGGAAGAGGCACGCCACTTCTGTCACTCCGGGCTCTCATGTGACCAGCAACACACCAGCAGGTGTAAAAGAGATTGCAACATGGCCTGGCGGTCAGAGTGCCCGCTCTGGAACAAGATGGCTTGGCTGGAGTCCCATCACTGGCTACGGAATCAATCTTCCGTGCCCCCCATTTCTTCATCTGTAAAATGGGGGTGCTTACTCCAGGGTAATGGGAAGTCTTCTGGAGCACTCGGGAATCCTTCTTGAAATTTCCAGTTCTGTCTTAAAATTCACATGGCTTTTTGTATTGGACTCCATATGACTGTTCTAGTATGAAAAGTCTCCCTTGTTGATTGTGTGACTTGGGATACTCGCAGGACACTAGCTGGCACCACGGTCCCTCTGCTCATCTCCCACCTCCCCTAATCAAGAAGCAGGACTCGCCCTGGCTGGTTTGGCTCAGCGGTTAGAGCATCGGCCCTCGGACCAAAGAGTCGTGGGTTCGATTCTGGTCAAGGGCACGTACTTGGGTTGCGGTTCATCCCTGGCCCTGGTTGGGGTTGTGGGGGAGGCAACCAATCGATGTGTCTCTCTCACATAGATGTTTCTCTCTCTCTTTCCCTCTCTCTCCCTTCCTCCTTCCCTCCCACTCTGATGGAAGATAAATGGAAAAATATCCTCAGATGAGGATTTTAAAAAAAAGAAGCAGCAGCAGGACTCTATCTCCCTGTGTTGGCCACGTCAAGCTAGAAGTTAACGGAGAGAAACTGTCATTTGCCTCCAGGGAAAGATGAACTCCTAGAAGCTGAGTCTGAGTGGGAAGTTTTCCTTCCAACCATATAGACAACTCTTTTAGAGAGAATTTGGGGTGCAGCCATAGAAGCTCTTAAGCAACCCAAAGACTTGATTCCCTCTGCCCTTTCCCTCTGCAAAGCATCCTCACAGCCACCAGGTCACTTGTTAACAGCCTTGTATTAGTCAGGGAAGGCCAATGCTGTGTAACAAACAATCCCCAAACCTCGGTGTCTGAACACACTAAAAGCTGATTTCTCACAGCCTGAGAAGAGTCTGCTGGCTCTTCTCCAAACTTGGAGTCGCAGCTTCTTCTACCCTGTGGTTCTGCTCATCTGTGCCCTGTACTTTTCAGATTTGAACTCACTGAATGCTCATAATAACCCTATCAGGAAACTACTGCAATCAGTTCCATTCTGCAGGTGAGGCCCCATGGACATCTTGCCAGCAGTAGAGACTTGGTTCAAACCCAGGCTGACTCACTGCAGAGCCCTCTGTTGACCCACGGTGCTGTGCCGCCCCTTGCCTGGCCCACTGCCCCTTCCTATATCCCTGGGACCCTTCAGACAGAGGAACAGACTTGCAAGTGCTGGTTCCCACATTTGATGTTGTAGGTTCACCTGGGAAAATGTAAATTCAGATTCCCAAAGCGACCACCAAGGGTTTTGACTCAGAGTCTTAGGTGGAGCCTGAGGAACCTGCATGTCTGACAAGCCCCCCAGGGTGACCATGGTGTGAGTGCTCCCTGAGGCTAATATGTGAATGCCTGGTTTGGGGATGACCCCAGAAATCCAGGTCGGGTAGATGTAGAAATGTCCTCATGCATGGTGAGCTGCTCACAGGCACAGCCCCCCATCTCTTAGTCAAGTTCTCTCGGCCCACAAACATTTGTCTGGTAGATCTCCAGCCCCTGGGGAGCTGCTGGGACCATGGTCTCTACTTCGTGGCTGCTTATCTGCCCATTCACAGGGTCAGATCCCAGGGGGAGAGCACATTTCAAGCTGCAAAGTTGAAATTCACTTTGAAGAAGCAGCTTATCTTCTGGTCCAGGTGCCAAGCAGTGTTTCCATGGCAACAAAGCCACAGCACCATCTTTTGTTATCCCTTCCAACACCCAGCCTCTGCTTATTACAAGCCTGTGTCCTATCCTTTCTCAAATTCCCTGCCCTGGGGACTCACCTCCTGCTAGTCTCTTTCCCCTCCATGCTTATTTTAAAGTCTAAAAGGGCTAGTTTGTGGTTGACCAGCACTCCCTGTCCCCTAGCTGGTACTTGGTGGACTAGCCCTGCTGTCAGTCCGGTAAACGCCTCTCCCAAC